GTGGCCATAGTCGCCGGAGTCCGGCCGCCCACAAGCTGCTCGATGTAATGTCGCATAGAAAAAAAGGGATGAAGATGATCATGTAGTCACAGACAGGCGGGGTCCGTGTCTCATTTGCCACCTCAGCTGGTCAAAGCTTGTTTGGTGCTTGGTCTTTGCCACATCAGCTCTGACAGGTGGGCCCTACCTGTCGGTTTTGCTGTTTTTGCGACTAAATCCGAGCGTCAGTACTTAGCGTTACGCATTAGGCGCATTTCCGGTGGTTTTTTATGTCCTGCCTTCAATGTGGTACTAAGTTGTTGCCCCAGCCCTAAATGTGATGGTTTTAGATAAATAACTCACTTAGAAATGCAGGGGGAACACTAGCAGGTTTCAAGCATGATTTGTGCTGTATTCGTCTCTGGATCGCAGTGGCGTACGTACGTGAACGTGGCAATTTGCGCCAGTTGAGTGAGACATGAAGCATCGCTAGGACACAAGTTATACAGCACATGCAATGCAATGCCCGATGTGCTTGAAACCTGCTAGTGTCCGATGTGCAGCCGAAATTGATGTGCACACGACATGCAATGCCCGATGTGCAGCCGACACAAGCTCTACACCGTCAGATTGCCTAGTATCAAATTTACAAACGGCCTGATGAGACACATCGGCTGTGTATCGTCTGGAACCGTCGGCTGTATAGCAACGCTCAAGTTATATAGAAACAGATATCGCCCGTCCAGTTGGGACTGTTGGAGGAAGGTCCCGTGCATGCAGCCAAAGGCAAAGGAAGTCGCTTCACGTCTGATGTGGCTGGCTCACCACTTGGCATGTACTCCTACATTATTTTATTTTGTGAAGAAAGCTACCGGTGCAGTGCACGGCGGATCATATCCTGATTCCCAAGTGGAGCTCAGGGATCGCTGTGCATCGACTGCTCTGTCTGAAACAGCAGATTTGATTTAACTGTGGGGAGCTGCACTGCACATATCCAAGAAAACGCCAGAGGGACAAACCATAACTGTACATATACAAAATGCACAGCTCAAAAAATGCCCCCACCCTTCGAGCCAAGCACTTTGCCCTTTGCGGTGCATTCTTTTGCAGTCACTTTTTTGGCTTGAACAAAATATAAATTGGCAGGAATATTAAGTACTCCCTCTGTTCGCTTTTATAAGGCCCTGAATACATTTCAGACAATGTACAAATCAGTCTATTTTCAATTGTCTGAAATGAATCACAAAAGTGAACGGAGGGAGTAACTTTCACTATCATCATCTTCCTTTCATTTCAAATACAACTCTTCGCTTCCCCGCACAAGTTTTTTTTATAAATCTTCGTTGGTAAGAGCCTATCCAAAAATGGAAGTCAAACCACCAGAAGCTAGCGGGCACATCCACGGTTCAATCCCAAATTATCTAGGAATATTCTGCATCTATACTAAACACCTATTGTTCGACAATTTGCTAACTTGTATATTATCCAATTTGTATAAATATTTAAGCTAGCTAGCTAGATAGATGCTTTGGAAATTCGCAAAAAAAAAAAAGATAGATGCTTTGGAAGACAGGCAACTTGTGGGAGGGCGGCGGTTGGTCAAAAGTCAAAGCACACGGACGCATAGAACGCGAATTGGGCGACTTGAAAGACAAACAAAACAAGAAGAAGAAGAAAAACTCTTCACAGATAGATATGGGATGCACACACGAGCTCATTTTCATTATTGCACATGGCGAGTAAATAAACAGGCGATAACCACTAGTTTTTTATGCGGCACATGCATATGGTTGGTTAGCTAAGCAACGCCAATCAGCGTTGCTTGCTGAGGATGGAAAGGCGCCGGCTCATAAGATTTGATGTAAACAATTTAGCAAATTAGCGCCGCGACAAAAGGCGCGAAAGCCTCGACGATATCTAGCTGGATTCCGCGCTCGAGAAGAATGCCAAGTCATCGCCGTGAAATGGACAGCAATCACATCAGAAATTAGGTTACAGCGGGGTCAAGACAAGTGGCTTAGCTGGATGAGGAGTTGTGGGCAGCAGCAATGTGATGAACGTGGAAGAATGAGTTGATTACGGGGTTAAATCAAGCGGAATTGGTCAGAAAGAGAGTTGGGATGCGTATAGAATTGTTCTCCTCCTGATGTTTGGGCGTGTGTTGTTTATGTCTCATGCCAATAATTCCTTCCACTCGTTCTGTACAGTGAGATGACAGGACGATTGGCATGTTTTTGCCAATTAAGATGGGTTTAAAACTAGGAATACAGCTGAATTTCATTTTACAGTTCAAGATGTTTGTGTTGCTGCATCATGAAGGACAGCTTTTACTAAAGGACAACGAAAACCTCATCTAATTATCTGAAAATGGTCCGTGCCCTATCGTCTTCCTCTACTGGACCATCCAAATCGTTTGATGCAAGACAAAGGCCAGTTTATCTCAAAGAAAGAAAAAAGGAAAAGGCCAGTTGCAAGATCATTGCAATCTTCGATTATATGTGCTTGGTGAGGGTAGATTTTTATCAAGGTAAATTAATTTCAGTCTACAGTTAAAATGTTTATATGGATGCATCACAAAGGACAGTTTTTATTAAGGAAAAACGACAATGTTATCTAGTTATCTGAAAGCGGCCCATGCTCTAGCTTCCTCTAGGTCTATGGACCACCTAACTTCTTGCTGTCAAACCAAAAGTTAGTTGCAACTTGCAACAACATTGACACCATCTCTCCTTTTTGTGTGTGGAGAAAACATTGCCATCATCTAGAAGACGATTCAGCAGATTCACTGGCTAGTTTTCTGCTAAGCCCAAGTCAGCCTAGTGAACTATTCAACATGAAAGCTCACTCATTTTCTCAGCCCAACAGGGTATGAACTCTGCTGAACTCCAATGAAGAAGCTATATCCAGGATGGATGGTGGCATGATGCCCACAAAGAAAAAGGTTCCCATGATGAAATGGCAACCCAACTTCACATTTCAGGATGGCTAACATCTAAGGACTCGAATGAACTTTTCAAGCATTGTTTTTTTCAGTTAAACAAAGTTTAAGCATTGCCTCTGTCCAGCCTTCCATACAACCATCCCATTAACGGCTCTCTGGAACAGTTTAATTTCACTACAAATCGCACAGCAGCGAAGGCAACACAAGACGAAAATACACAGCCCAGGAGCATCGCATTCTCCACTGCAGCAATCTATAATTACTCAGGGAGCCAAGTAGCTTACCTGGCTACCATCATCAGTCAGGTCACATGACAACCAAGAAAATAAGCTGGCTTACGCCTCTCGTTGATCTCCGTCCTTTTGAACCCAGACTTTCACCGTCTTGTCGTTGTCAAGAGCTCCTGATGCAATCATGTTCTCCTTAGGGTGGCATGACACAGCAATGACTGTGTCGCTATGCCCTTCCAGTTTCTGCACGATCTTCCTTGACTGAAGATCCCACATGTAGACACACTTGTCTTCCGAGCCACTCACAATGTACTTGCCGTTGGTAATAGAAAATGCTGCCGGAATGCAGTATTTTGTGTTCACATGGCCAGTATACGTCTTCAAAAACTTCCCAGCTGAAAAATTCCAGAGCCTCTGCATGAAATGAACAATATGGGAGCCGTTATCCTGTGATAAGTTCATCAAGGTAGGTTGCTAGATACTCACTAAAACAAGACCATGATGTTTTTTTTTTGACAGATGCCACTACAAACATACTCCATCTGTACCAAAATATAAGACGTTTTTGCAGTTTAAATTGAAATGCAAAAATATCTTATATTTTGGTACAGAGGTAGTAGGTGTTATTGTAATATGTCTAATAATCCACCCAAAAAACATCAAAGCTATGACTTGGCAATGAAGTAAAATCATAAGCTATCTGAAATTATCCCAAATCCCAATATATGCATGGAGTGGTCCACAAGCATGATAAGGAGCAGGGCAAAATTATCTGGGAACATACACCAGACATGGCAATGCCTACGTTAAAAGAACACCAGTGTGTAAAACAGCTAGAGCATTGTATAGTACTTTTAAGGCATTGTATAGTACTTTTAAGGATATGGAACTACTAGAAGAGGACCACGATAATCACAATGCTGACAAATATAATCGATTGCAGCACAGAAAATGGTCTTTTTTAAATCAGGGATGGTGGCATGGGTCAAGGCACTCTCTCCTGGGTCTGATTCATATGACATTCCGCTGCGTTAGACAGTTAATGATTGATGCAGCTCTAACGATGTGCTTTGCACAACACCTTCACCCTTAAGAATCTTATAATGTAAATGAATATTAACAGACAACAGCTTCTTTTAGTTTCTTTCCATCCTGTTGGTGAAAAACATGGTTTATGATCTCCATGCTGTAATGCTGGTTGGCCAGCTCAGCTTTATAAAGAACTGCTTGCAAGAATTGTACTTATCTAAGAAGCGCAGAAACTATTGAACAGTCAGGACTGCCACCAGAAATTTCGGCGCCGCTACATATGACTGAAGGGCATAGCATGATAGAAGTCATTTATCAACTCAAGGTATTAGGCATAAATGAACCCTAAAAGAAATTTACTTCCACACGGAGCACCCTCACAACCCAAACATGAACAGCAGCTCTCCTGCTGTCTTTCAAAAACAACCCAAACATGAGGAACTGCTCCCGACAATCTCACTCAAGATCACTCAAGACCTTCCAACTGTGGTCAAACACTAGGGATAGTTGATGTGATGCCCCCCCCCACCCCCACCCCACCCCCCTCCTCTAACGGCACAACTTAGTCTGCTAATTTATTTTGACAGAGTGGATTCGGACCGCCACTTTATTTTCTGTTTTTCTGCTGGGGTCAGGTCTCGCCTAGCGGACTTTAAACCAGCACTTCATTTTCTGTTTTTCTGCTGGAGTCAGGCCTTGCTTAGTGGACTTTAAAACTTATAAGCAAAATGCAATGATACAAGAAAATATTGAACTTTAATGTTAGAAATAACTATACATCAGAAAATGATACGTCAAAATGACAAAAAAATTCAAATTCACAGCAGCTATAAAATGGCAACCTGGCTGGGAAGAAAGCATTGGAATTAGTTGGATAGTGGAAGTACCTACAAAACTTTGTGAATTTGGTAACAATAGCAATTAGCAAGCAATCATTTCGAATGTGCAATTACTACCCACTGAAAAAAAAGTGTTACTATCAGAAAGAGTCAGGGTAACATGTATCAACCAAACCTGCCATGCCGGTGAACCCGGGTTAAATAACATACAGGGTACGTTTGGATTTTGGAAGGGATAAAATAAATTAAATCCCTACTACCTCACATCATTTTCCCATTTTGACCTGTGTATGCAGGTCCCATTGCCGAGAATGGAAAATATCGAAGAACCAACAAATTGCTAAGCAGTGGACTGAACCCACAACTCGACACCCCCAAACTCTCATTTGTTTTCTTCCACTGCGGTAGTTGTGTGCCTATGGCTATCCTACAGTTGCTGAAGCATTTTCTTTACTAAAAGAACAAGTTTGGGAGATTTGGGTTTCTTAAAAAAATGTCTTTTGGAAATCTTAGCAAACAAGGGCAGGCCTAGTGCAGTGGTAGAGTCTCTCCACTTGTGGCCTGGAAGTCCTGGGTTCGAACCAACCTCCTTGCAAAATATTATGAAAGGGCAAGGCTGTCTAGAAATTCCCTTCCGCAGACCCCACATTGTGCCGGAGCTTTCAGCACTGGGTAAACCCTTTTTTTCGAAATCTTAGCAAGTTCTAATTTATCTTCAAAACAAGAAAAATTTCACAGGATAGAACAAGGTACATTTATTGCTCTATTAATGTCCATCACATATTCTATCACGAAGTTTTAAAATTCACGGCAGCTATATAATGGCAACATGGCTGGGAAGGAAGCATTGGAATTAGCTGGATAGTGAAAGTCCCTAAATAACTTCGTGAATTTGATATCAATAGCAATTAGCAAGCAAACATTTCGAATGTGCAACTACTACCTACCTAAAACAAGTGTTACTATCAGAAATAATCAGGGTAACATATCAAACCTGCCATACAGGTGGACTCTGATTAAGTGACATACAGAGTCCATTTGGATTTTGAGAGGGATAAATAAATTAAATCCTACTACTACCTAACACCCTTTTCCCATTTTGACCTGTGGTATGCAGGTCCCATTGCCGAGAATGGAAAATATCGAAGAACCAACAAATTGCTAAACAGTGGATCAAACCCACAATCCGACACCCCCAAACACTCATTTGTTTTCTTGCACTGCGGTAGTTGTGTGCCTATGGCTATCCTGCAGTTGCTGAAGCGTTTATCTTTACCAAGAAAACAAGTTTGAGAGATTTGGGTTTCTTAAAAAAATGCTTTTCGGAAATCTTAGCAGGGTCCAGTTTATTTTCAAAACAAGGAAATTTTTGCAGGATAGGACAACGTACAGATATTGCTCTATTATTAATGTCCATCTCATGTAGGCTTTGCCACTTACATATCCACCCCCACCCCCTCCCCCTGCCTAAAAATAAAATTCCAGCCCACCCTACACTCATGGCAAGGGTTTAACATAACCCCTAATATAACAATTCCCAAACAATCTTTCTCTTGTCCTTCAATGTATGCAGTCACAGCACTACAAGAGAACAGAAGCACCTAACTAGTATTGTGACCAGTGTTTATAAGGTGTCCTGCCTTGGACGCTTAGGCGGCAAGGCGGCGCCCTGCCCGGTTAGGCGTTTAGGCGTCAGGGCGGTTGGTGTTTGCCTTAGGTCACCTTACCGCCTTATAAACAATGGTTGTGACCTTCAACTCAGCTGTGACTACAGCGATGTCACAAAAATTGACACTGCAGGCTACAGTCACTGTGCAATGTGATATCAAAGAAAGTGCAAATCTACGCCCAGCACCATGTCACAATGATTGAAGCATCTACAATACTTACCTCTAGGGGATTGTGATCACATCAACTGTGGAAGGAGATGATGAACAAAAAAGGATTAGTTAACCAACGTATCTTTTTTTGGCGAACTACCAAAGTATATTGAAGCCCGAAAAAAATATCAATAGCTTCTTATGCTAAAATGGAAAAGACAGTTGGCTACGTGCAATTCCACACATTTAATTACTCCCTCCGTCCCATAATATAAGAACGTTTTTGACACTAGTGTAATGTTAAAAACCTTCTTATATTTTGGGACAGAGGGAGTACTTCTCAAGAATCATACGACTATACCAGGCAGTTGCAACAAGTAATTCGGGATGGAGGGAGTATTACCCCTCATCTGTATAATCCCAAGATTGCAAACACTACAAAATGATGCAGTTTGTAGAAATTATTAACAAGCCATGCTTTGCTTTTTTCGATATTCTAGAGCATAGGAAGAATGGTAGCACTAACTCCCAACATAATCACAAAATTTCCAACTCTACTTAGCATAGTGCAGACCGAACAATATGCAGATCACTCACTCAATCTTCTCCATTGCAAAATCACATATTACTGCAAGTTCAAGTTCACGTCATGCTGTGAAGTACAGAAATAGTATTACGGCGGGTCTAATACCTCCAACCCAAAGAGTACCTTGTTTGGTGGCACCTCACTGGGACTCCCAATTTGCATACTCCCAAGGCTAGACTTAATGGAACTGATATAACTTTAAGGCAGATCATCAGGCTATGGCTGAGATTAACTGAGCTTGCAAGCCTCATTAAAAGGGGAGCTTAAAAAAAGGGCAGCCCGGTGCACATAGCTCCCTCTTGCGCAGGGTCCGGGGAAAGGTCCAACCACTTTGGGTCTTTTGTATGCAGCCATTTCCTACATTTCTGCAAGAGGCTGTTTCCAGGACTCGAACCCGTGACCTCATGGTCACAAGGCAACAGCAATGTGCCAAGGCATTAAAAGGGGAACTTAACATGTAAAAAATTAACTCCGCGAAGCAGCACCGACATAAGTCCCCAATTTATGGAGTGTGCTCTGGACTAAGTGCCTGCATCAGCCCTATTAACAACCTCAAAGCCTTAATCCCCTCCTCGTTTCCTTGTGGCACTCTGTCCCTTGTGCCCCCAAAAATGTACTTGTAGTGTTCCATTGCTATTGCAACTACTAATGTTCTTCCTAGCTAAGAAATGTCAACTACTGATGTTTAACCTAGCTATGAGAACAATCAAACATTCAATAACAACATAATTGCAATTTCACATATGCTGCGAGCTGGAATGTTCTCTACAATAAGACTATGAGGAGAGATTCTGAATAACTTACCAGGGTGCTATCAAGGGTGGATGCAAGCACGAACTTGCCATTGGGGGAGAACTTGGAGTAGGACACGGGCGGACTCTCGTCATCGATGAGGGTCTTGACGCAGTGCCCGGTGGCTGCGTCCCAGATGCGGCAGAGCCCGTCGTAGCTTCCCGACACGATCATGGCCCCGTCCCGGTCGAAATCGACGGCGGTGACGGGCTCGGAGTGGGCGGGCAGCACGCGGAGGCTCCGGCCAGACCTGACCTCCCAGACGCGCACCGTCTCGTCGAAGGACCCCGACGCGAGCACGTTGCCGTGGGGGCTGAAGGCGACGCAGAAGGCGTAGTTGGTGTGGCCGGCCAGGGTCTTGACGAGGCGGGCGCCGCCGCCGGCGCCCAGGTCCCAGATGCGGACGGTGCGGTCGTCGGAGGCGGAGGCGAGGAGGCGGCCGTCGGGGGAGAAGGAGAGATCGGAGACGCCCTCCTCGTGGCCCTCGAGCTCGGCGACGAGGGAGAGGTCCGCCGAGGACCAGACGCGGAGGAGCTTGTCGGCGGAGGCGGAGGCGAGGAGGCGGCCGTCGGGGGAGAACTTGACGGCGGAGACGGCGCGGCGGTGGCCGGCGAGGGTCGCGCGGAGGGCGTACCCCGGGGAGGCCGGGGTCTCGTCTGCATCCGGCGCCGCCATTGCCGCGAACCAGAAAGAAAAAGGGTTTGGGGTTTTGTAATTCCTCCCCTTTGGCGACGCTGCGGCGCGGTGCGGTGGTCTGTTGAGTTGGGGAACCACGGCGAGGGACGCGTGCCGAAGCTCCGGAGTTTCGGTGGGCTTTAGACGGCTATGGCGGTATGGACTGGGCTTCAGATATCTGCTGGCGACTTTAGACGGCCCAATTCATTTGTTTTACCAACTGCACAGCAGAGCATACTTTGATACTACTATGTACATATACATGCAGAGCTTTTTCCCCTCTCGCTAGGGTTCCTCTCTTGGTGGGGACGACCGGCGTAGAGATCACGTTTCCCTGACCTTGATCCTCCATTTCCTCAACTGCTTGGACTGACTAAGGGGCGATCCTGGATCGCGTTCCGGTCTTGGCGTTGAGTTTCTAGAGATCAATGGAGACTAGGGTTTGGGTGGCCCGTGGAATTATTATTATTATTATCGATCCGTGTGGCTTAGGGAAATCTGATCAGATCGAGCTAGAGGCAATGATGAAGGAATTGGCGCTTCGGGAGGAGGACCTGGATGACGTCGTCTTCGAGCAGGAGGAAGCGCCACCGCCTGAGGCAACATGATGGATAGCAGTAGTGCGGGTGAATGTGGATAAACTCTATGTTGGAACTATCGTGGATTTGGCAAAAAGCTATGACAGTCAAAGAGGTTCTAGACCTCGTTAATAAATTTGCCCCTTTAGTGTTGTGCCTCTGGAAACTCAGTTATGGAAAACCCAAATAGAAAACTTGCAAGATCTTTTGGTTATGATAATTGTTATGCTCTCTCAAGTGATTAGGCAATTCATGAAGATGTTTTCTAGAGCCTTCTATTCGTATATTCTTTTATTGGTAGCTTCCTGGCCGACTTGGAGATCATCTCATCACATGCCCAGGACCCAGTGGGAGCTCACTAGACTCGACCTATTTGTCGCAGATGGATCCTCCACCCTAGCACATGATGAAAATAAAATGTTGATGCAGTTGTTTCTAGGTCAAAGAACCGAGGGGTGGTGGCCCTATCTGTTGCACTTTTGGCGCATATCAGTGGCCTTCGATGGTTGCTTGTCCAAGTATTTCTGACCCAACTACCTTCAAAGCCCTGGTGTGTAGAGAAGCTCTTGCCCTCGCAGCAGACTTGCGGCTGCAACACTACATCATTGCATATGATTGTTAAGAAGTGGTCAGCCCATCAACAACGGATTCCAACCTAGCTACCTTACCGTCCTCATGGAGATCAATCAACATACGAGAGACTTTCATGAAGTTTGTTTTACACATGAAGATCGGACGTCAAATATGCATGCTCATGATCTAGCTCACAACTATCTTTATGTTATATGGGCACCATTTGTGGCTCTTGAACTCCCTAGACATTGCTATTGTACCCCCATTCCATTGAATAGTAAAGAGAGCTAGATTTTCCCTCAAGAAAAAAACTAGTTTGACCTACTAAAAAAGAAATTTCTGTACCGGTTGATTCTAAAAGTAAGATTGATCCCTTAAAAAAATTGATACCAATTTGGGGCAGTAACTTATCGAAGACGTCTCGACTCAAAAAGGGGAAAAATAAGAAATAAGAAAAACTTATCGTCGTTATCAGGGTCTTCCACAATCATCTACGTCGGTTCCCCTCATATCATGTGGCCTCCCGTCATATCTTCGACGATCAGGGTCTTCCTTTCATGCGTCCTTCATCCACATCCCATTGTGTTTTCACTGGCGACGTCGAGGAGCTAGCAATGTTTTAGTTTCTCCTATTTAGTCCCTTTTAGTGGTTCGGTGATGAATCAACAGCTTGACGGCTTGTCTTTTGAGGATGAATCAACATCTTGATGGCTTGTCTTTTGAGGAGTGTACCCGGTTACGGTACGTTCAATGGTACAAGATTTTACACCTAGTGTTGGCCTGTTGGGCTCATGCTGCTATTCAAAACCTTTTGAGTTTAGCCAAGTATGCTTTCCTGTAGGTTTTTACCGTGTGCATAGACAGACTATCAACATGTGTTTAGCAGAACTTTGGTGATTTCAAATGCTTTGATATCTTTTGAATATGTATGTGCTTTGTTTTGTTTCGGTTTCCTCAATCTATAGCAATCTCCTCACTTGATTAATAAAATTAATCATTGTTCTGAAAAAAATATATATATATGAGACCAAAGACTCGTCGACAAAAAAACTTTGCAGTTTCTTTACTCTAAAATATAAAAGATTGAAATTGTTAGTTAAAAAAAACGTAATATCTCTAAAAAAATCTGCATTGTGCTAGCATATAACTCCAGTTACACCTCGTAATCAAGCAAGGTTACTGTACGGTACTGCGGTCTACAAGTTAGTTTTCCTTCTGCAGTTATGCTCTACAGAGGTAATGACATCCATCAACATAGCTGGCAACAAAACCCTGGACGCAGGGATATACAACAGAACTTGTCCTAGTTAAACCTCCAACGAATCCACTACTTTAAGTGCTTCACTCCTCATCATCTTCGTCGTCTTCAACTTCATCGGGGAGCTCTATGTCGTCGTTGTCAAGTGCAGGTGCTGCCTGAGAGCTCGATACGTTTATATCAGCACCTGTCAAGATGAGTAACCACAAGTCATCACAAAGTATAACCACAGCAGAACAACTGTTCTTCTTTTGGTAACAAATAGTTTGAGTGAGCGTAAACGAAAATAATATTGATGAAGTGCAAACTGACTAGGTCAGACCCACAAGCAGCCAGTTCTTAGCTTAGAATGCATGAAACTCAGAGTTTAGATGTTACCACAAAAGAGACTAGGCTACAGCCATAAGCATTTATCAGGGAGAGAGAGAGAGAGAAACATACCGCCAGGATTAGACGAGTCCAGCAGATATGGGAGTTCTAAAAACTGGAGAAATGATTCAGTTTGTGGGTTTCTGCAAGGAACTGTGTAGCACAAGAACCATGTAAAGCACACATCAGAAGTTTGACAAAGAAAGAGTTCAAATGCTTAGAATCAGATACTAGTTTGTGATACTTTAAATACAAAAAACAACTAGAATGAAAGCAATGAACTGTGACATAAGATGAAATTGTGGAACTAAAGGAAAACTGTATGGTAGCTCAAGATCAAGAAACATTTCGACAGTAGAATCCATAATATTTATGGCTCACAGTGAAGACATGACTATTAAAGCTTACCTGCTATGGGGGGATTATAAACTGGTCTGGACGGATCATAAGGTGGAGCAGTCTGGACAAAATCAAATGTCTTAGCCCCTCTAGCATTCAACTTGCTCCTAACCCACTGCCGGTCATCTTCAATATCAAGTTCTTCATTCCTGTCAGATAAGACAATTGAATTACTCCAGCTTTGTCATTTATTGTATATTTTCAGAATATTCATTACACTGTAACAAACAAACAAGACAATTTATGCACCAACCGAATTGTACACGGCATCCGAGTTAAGGGGAAAGCACTATTGAATCTCCGTGTTATTGCAAGCCATTCTTCATCATACTGAATTTCATATGGTCCCGGATTGGATGGAATGTCTATTACCTAAAATTGATTGACATCTCAGAACAAATATGTGCAAGGAACTTATTTGTAGTGGTTCAAATGTCTGTGGTAGAGGAGATAGTAGTACCTGCAAAAAATTCCGCCCGGGAAGGCACTTATCAAGAGCAAGAAACTTAGTCGTAGGTCCATCCTCACCATGTTGAATGATAGCTGGAAATCTACAATGAAGATGAGCTGAAAACCAGTACGGTGGTTTTAATTTGTTCAGTAATTTTGCTGCAGATTCACTGCCTAATGTTCTCTCGTTGACCTGAAATGACAAGAGAACAGAACATTAACAATAGTTTGATATGTGTGTAGGGAAGCATGAAGCATTCCATTTTTGAGGAAGTAGTCTCAATCAAACACTGTGCATGTCAGACCACAGTAGTCATCAGCTCACCATACGAAACTTGATGCCATAGGGATTAACATTATCATTTTTAGCTAAAATACTAAGGTTTATCTAGTGTACCTTTACAAGATTAATTAGCAAAAAAAGGAGAGAGAAACAATCCTTAGCTGATCACAGATGCTGACACAACACTGGAAACTGTTTCACTGCAGTAATTATCATGAAAAATGTGGCATCGCTTATTTATTATATTATTCTTTGGCTTTGACTCAAAATGTGACATTGTCACACAATAAAGTCAACACATTCCCTTGAGGCATTTTCACAAGGTTGGTGGATGATGAGTAATGAAAGGCATATGTTATAGAGAGTTGCAATGGTTCGAATGCGTTGCGTACTAGGATCTAGGTAGATAGGAGGGAAGGCTCTCACTCCAGGGGCAAGATAGAAGAACCACTCTTCTAATTCTTGCTTGGCTCTATTCCTCACAGAGGGTTCTCCTTATAGAGGACTAACAATCCAATCTAAGAACAAATCGTAGATCTTATGTCTAGTTGGCTTAACGCCCAAGCTAAAATAGATCTTAATTTAAAGGATAAACTACCAAATTAATAAATCATTGGAATCTTCCCCCTAACTTGGCGCTGGGTGGGTCGTGTACTACGCGGACATAACAAATGTGTAACACAAAATAATCCCCTATGTCAATTGGCAACTTGGTATTACCTCTTCTTTGAAGAACGGTTTCTCTCGAAGGAGCCTCTCCCGGTTTCCATATTCAGTAATGCCAAGAGGCCAGTCATGTGACATGAATATATCTAGAGGCTCCTTCACATGCATTAGCTTGAGAACATCGTAATGCCTTACATGGTACACTGATCGTATAGTAGCATTATCGTATGGAGGCCTCTCATGGTGTCCTGCATAGATTGGCAATAATAATTCTGAATGCTTTGTTCAGGGTCTAATGAAATTTACAGTTCTAGTTTAGGATCCTTCTTCAATAGGCTTCTACTCCCTAGACAATAACCTCTAGATGCAACCAAAAAAAAACTTCAAACTACAAAGTATCCCAAGCAAGATATTAATAAACTTGCCTCGGTAATAATCATGTTGCTTATGTATTCCTGACATTCCACCAATTCGAATATTTCCAAACTTAACAACACCAGCAAACCCCAAGAAGTAGATGTTAGGTGCTGCCCATCCTCCATAGTACCTGATAGTGGTTACACCACAATTAGAAAACAGCAGGCATTGCATTTTTCAATAAGCAAGACAACACCTCATCATTGAACAACAATACTCAAATATGTTGAGTAAATCAATGTATCCAATGACTGAAAGCTGTTGAGCTACTTGTTATTAAACTCCTAAGCAGATATTAGTTCAAAACAAGGGACAGCCTTAGATTCAAAACAATGCCTTTCTCCCTTTAATTCTTTTTTTTACATCCCGATGTTTCTATGAATAGTTATTGGACAACACACTTCCATACATAGATCATCCTTGTCCCAGTTAGAATTTCTTTTAGATTGAAAATTTGAGTAAATATCATGGAAATTTTCAGATTACTGTGCTTCAATCCTTCCTAAATTTTTACATGCAAATTCTAGTTATTGTCCTACAAAGTGAAAATATAGAATAAGGTCCCACAGCTAAACTAAACCACGGATTGGTATTTTGAAAGTTGTGTCGGGCATAAGTGACAGAGACTCACAGTTCCCACAAATAATTGGCTGCTTCATGATTCCCGCCGATGAAGATAGTTGGGTATGGGGCAACTGCTTGCCCAGAGTAGTACTTCCAAAACGAGTTCATGGTACGAAACTTTGGTGGGACATTTACACACTGTAAATCACTCTCATTCCTTACAGCCTGCATGAAAAGGTGCAATGTCAGAATGTGAAATATGTCAACACGTACATAGAATTACTACCGAACATTAAACTATGACCATGTGAAAAATCAACTTGTCCATGCTCCATAGAACCGAGCCAGATATGACCTTCTTAAGGACAGTAAGATAAATATATTTCCGTAACAAAGGGCCCGGCATGACCAGACCCAGTAAGACAAATATTGCAGCATTTCAATTCAAGGGAAGTGTGTGGTAGACTTAGAAAATGCTGTGATACCCTAGCCAGATCAACTATCTATTCCAACGAGTAACAGATATGTTAGGTTAACTTCAAACAAACAACCAACCAGCAGCTAGGCCATTGTGAACCAGACAGATCCCATGTCCCAGGCAGGTGCGTGCACGACATGATGCAAAACAGCATACACCACCGTCGAGCCAAACTGTAAGCTCGCAATGTAACAAACTCCAGCTCCAATAAAGGAGCGTGGGCAGAGGGGACTGCCTGCAGCCTGAGCGCACCTGGAAGTCGCCGCAGCAGATGAGGAGGTCGATCTTGATACCCTCGGCCGCCTCGAGCCGCTGCATCGTGTCGTAGACCTTGTCCAGCTCCCCGTGCATGCATCCCTCCACCGCAATCTGCACAGGACACCCGGCGAGGCATTACGTCGAGCACGTGGCCTGCACGCCGCATAAACTCCCCGAACCAGAAACCTATTGACCGGTACTCGGGGCACATACGGCTGCATCCAGAGAAACGTAGAGCATGAGAGGTTCGTCTGATCACTCACCTTCATGGCGTGCAGTGCGGGGTGCGCCGGCTGGTCGGAGGGGGCAACGAACGCCGGGGGAAGCGGCAGTGGCAGAGGTTGGGTGAGGCCTTGGGGGTGTCGAGTTCTTTTTTTCGCGGTTGGGCAGGGGGTTAAGTAAAGTTTGGGGGAGAATTTCTGGTGGCCCACGGGCCCAGTTAGAGCTGTGGGCCGAATCCTCTGCTGTCCGCCGGATTCAGCACTGGTGGCCAGCCCACAGCTGTAAACCATGTCCCCCTCAAAAGGAAAAAACGTGAATCATGTCAAGGGATCTTAGGCAAAAAGAAAAGGTCGAGGGATAAGATCGTAACGTACTGCTACTGATCTCTTTTGTACTTTCAAATGTGTTACTGGTCTCTTGGCAATGCTTATCCATGGCGAGCTCATGTCGAGGAGACGAGGAGCGTGAAGAAAACTACGCAAATTCACCGTTACGAGGGACAAACTTTGCAAGTTCATTGACCCACTTAGCAGTTCAGAATGGTGTTTAGGCGATTCTGGATAGGATTTGAAAATTATCCTTTTCAAGGACGCTCCAAGTTCAGAAGCTAGCAGCGTGAGGACACGACGACATCGAGCCCATGTATACCAAATCTTATGATCGGGATAATTCAGAAGTCAGTACTACCCAGGATTTCACACAGCAAGAAAGAAAGAAGGGAAATTCATATGCACAGTCACATTTTATCTACACATATGCTGCCATTGTCAACGATCGGCACGGCACATGATTGAACGGCCAAAGAGGCAGAAGCTGCAGGAGCACGCGGAAATTCATTAAGATAGGCTTCAGGACGACCAGCAGCTGAGCCGCACGGCCTCGTCGAACTTGCTCGCCAGCGTGGCGGGCTCATCCTCCTCCTCCTCCTCGCCGCCGGCCCGACGCGGCCTCTCCTTCCCTTCGTGCCCCGCCGCATCCCGCCGCTTCGGCGCCAGGACGCCGAGGGAGAAGAAGACATTGCCAAGGCCGAACCTGAAGCCGCCGGTGCCGGCGCCGGCGCCGTCCTTGCCGTGTGGCGCGTCGGCGGGGCCGTGGTGGAGCTGGTGGTAGCTCAGGAACAGCATCGACGCGCTCGGGGCCATCGCCTAGCAAGCTATGATCCGCTTCGACCGACACTTTTCAGAAGGACCACGACGATCTTGGATTGGATCAGGTTGGATTGGGATGGATTGGATTGGGATGCAGTTCTGCTTGCTTCTTGGCTTCCTCGGGGTATTTATATGGGGGGAATGCGGGCTTTGATCGTTCGTCCGTTCGAGAGGGATGGGCGTGACGTGGCTGTTGGATCGGATAGGGCGGGCCCGCCACGTCGGCATGGGGGCGCGTGCCGCCCGGGGTTTCCCGGGGGAAACCAGTGGGCTGTGTTGGAAGGTCCGACCGGGTGGCGCGTGGTATCAGCGGGGTCCGGTGGGCTCGCGGCGCGAACCCGTGGGAGGAGCGGGCGCGGCACGGCCGCACCCCGTTTTGTGACGAGCTCGGGCTCAACGGCCAGCGAACGGGCGAGGGTGCCGCTCCTACGGCGGCACGCACCCCCGTGGCGGGGGGAATCTCACCACACCATCGTCCGGTGGGTGATGAAAGTTTTTTTTTCCAAGCTGGTGAGGGCAAAGCTTCACCACACGATCGTCCGGTTGGTGATGATTTTTTTTTCTAGCTGGTGAGGACAAGGTTTCACCACACCATCGTCCGGTTGGTGATGATTTCTTTTTTCTAGCTGGCGAGGACAAAGTGTTTTTTTTTTTGTTCAACTGAGGTGAGGGCAGTGCTGGCACGGGGCCCGGTGGGAGGTCAGCATCGCCGCCCGCCCCCCTGCCGTGGGCGTACCGGCGACCACCAGTCGGTCCACGAGGATGTGCCGCTCATTCGTGGCCTAGCCTGACGGCTCAGGTGGTTCGGCGCGAGCCTGACGCAACTCTTGATTTCTATGCTGCAAGTCAATGGCTGGCTGCGTCGTTGACATCAGCTCGCAATAGGGGAGCAATTTCACTATTTTACTAGCACCTTCAAACAGATATGCAACTAAAAGTGCTAACTAAAATTCAATCAGGCGACAAGACTGGCATCTTACAGTCAGTTTTTTCATAGGCAAAATTCATGTACATCGCTAGAAAAAAGAAGCTAAACAAGCATATAACCTTTTTTTTACCTACCACTGTCTACAGGTATAGAATATTATCGCATGCATTGTCCACGACATTCACTGCAACATGCACTTCTACTATAGAATCTATCTTGTTGCATCCTATGCACACCAGTCCAAGAGATTATCATAATGTACATACACATAATAATATCAAACATAAACAGCAGATGTCATAACTCGAAGCACTCCCGAGATCCCCAGCTCTTCTTGGTCCACAAACAAACGCTTTCAAGTAACACCAGTAGAAGAGTGATGCAAAATCCAGTGTGCCAATGGCAGCTCATAACAAGGCGCCTTGCAGCATCCCCACGCCAGCTTCAAAACTGCCTTGTGGCTCCTTTGGGTAGCAGATGAAGCTGGAAACCTCCAAGATTTCCCACAAAGAACACATAGCTACCCGGAGTCTGGTGGCGCACCAGTGCCACACATTTCCGATCCCCGCAAATGAGGGGAGGAATCGGAAAAGATAAATGAAGTATCCAGGTCCCCGGCCACAAATGAACATGTATGTATGGTTACAGTTACAGATCTAAGTTATACAGTACAAATCATACATCAGTTCAACTTTCAGTTGTAACAGAGAAAAGCATTGCGCGAGCTCAGCTGTGCCGCGACTTCTTCAGATGACGATATGTTTCCAGCTTCCATGAGCTGTGCCGCCACTTCTTCGGATGAGGATATATGTTTGTGAGTTCCAATCAACTCCCAGCCCATCTCCTCTTGCGAGCTGGCCGCTCAGGCTTCACTTCAACGTCAGCAGCAGGCGATTCATTCTGGGAAGTCTGCACTTCAGCATCAACCTTTTTGTTCTGGGGTACCTCCTTCTCGCCAGGCATGGGAAGTTTGAATCGTTCGCTTCTTCTCTTGAGCCTCTCAACCGTGTCTAGATGTCGGTCACGCTCTTCAGCCGTCATCTCAGAGGCTTGCCCATTATCACCACTGTTCTTCATGTCCGAACTGACAACTATAGCAGGAACATCAGATTTACCTGATGCATCAGCAGTGGGGGGTTGAACATCAGCTTCGATGGAAGGAAATGCATGTGTGGTCTCATTATCAATAGTACTATAGTCAATCTCTTTGTGGCTTGTCCATCGCTCCAGCTTAGACCGACCCCTTCTTGAATCATCGGTATTCTCATCATCTGACATGGCTTCTTCTTCCCCTTGTTTCACAAATGAATCATGTTGTTGAGGATTCTTGCTCGTTTTGGATGATGTAGCATGATCCCTACCATTTTGTTGCTCCCTCCCTCCTTTCGCCTCAACCTATACAAAGTTTTGTTTGCATTTGGGTTGAGGAGGGTGAATATTCCAAAGAGTTAAAACAAAATCTAAAGACATAAGCCCACCAAGCAGTAAATTTCCACAAAAAAATCATATCCTTATTCATATACCGGTGCCGTGCTCTTCATTTTTCAACTAGCAGCAAGTTTTCTTTGCAAGAGAACTATACTCTTTGTTATTCAACAGAGACCAAAATGTTGCAGATGAGTAAACACATAAATCAGTTCACCCCATGAATGAAATCTAGCTAATTCTTAAACATGGACAGCATGCATTAAAAACCAGAGGTGCACTCAGAAACCAGAGCCACTAGTGTGCCACCAGCCGACCAGAAGAATGTTCTATAAAGAATTCCAGTGTGCATAAATACGTCTGATAATTATCCATGCAAATCATGAAGCGATCCAAAATCATTAAGAAGGCCGACACCAGTTGAATTTTATGTTAAGTTTCTAGTGCCTGATTGTAACACTCAATGCGCATGCAAATTTTCTGCCCAGACAAGAAAGATCTAAATGCCTCACAACTCACAAGCAATAAACAGGTACATCCTTTACAGTGGCGGAGGATGAGGAAAGGAACCAGCACACATGTTTTATAATTGGCCTAGTATGCAGAAGAGAAAAGGCTACATTTTACCAAAAGAATAGTAGATGTCTTCAATGCTCCATGCGTACCGGGAGAGGGTAGAGACTGTGGATCGGCAACTGATTATTCAGTAGTATTGTTCATTTCTAGACAGCATCGTGCAAGGGTAAGGCCGTCTAGAAATACCCTTCCAAATCTACATGGTTCTGGTCTTACTCCCAAGCTAAAGATATTCCAGACACTCGCCCGGTCACACTTGTGCACTAGATAACTACCCTATTTCTATGCAGCAACTGCCCCCCTTCATTGATATCTGACATCCCCACAATTTTGGTTTATCAAGGTAACGTAACACTCGAGCGATAGCTCTTGGTAGTTAGTATCCCCCACCTTGCCCTACAACAGCCGTAGGCCAAGCAATAGACCATGTGCCCCCCTAGTAGCCACTCAACAATGACCGCCCACTACAGACTAGGTGATGATCGTCTGTCTTGTCCAGTGACCAACCACTGTCATACTTGATGGTCACCACCACGAATGGTGAATATCGCCGCAGCGTACAATTGAATCAAACTGGTGTTTATGTATAATATAATAAAGGATTTTTGTTTGCAGGGTAACATAGTTGAATGCTTAATGAGAATTTCTTAGGAAAAAGGCATGCAAGGTGCAGAAAATGCAAAAACACGCGTCAGTCAACTGTTTTGCTGTATTGTGTTTTGGCTTGTAACTTCGCCATGTGACAATCTGCCTTGACGTCCCCAAGAGAAAATTCTACCATGTATCTAACTATATACTACTCCCTCTGTTCCAAATTACTCGTCGCAAAAATGAATGTATCTAGAACTAAAATACATCTAGATACATCCATACCTGCGACAAGTAATTCGGAACGGAGGGAGTAGTTGTTTTGCTAACCTAATTGTAGTAGCAAACACTAGTAAACCCTCGTGTCGATCTACTCTTCAACTGCAGAGCCACACAATTCTGCCGTGAGGTCACTTGCTCAACCTCAACTTCTGATATTCTTCTTGGCAATGACAAACAGCATATGTTCCAGTTTTCCTCAGACCAATTCATCACTTCCTTTGGGTGCGTAACTAACTAACCATGCTAATTGATCATTTTGGATGCCTCTGTTAACAGGCTGATTACGTATATTTTTTAACACTGCAACAGGGAATTCAATCGTGTTCCTCGATGCCACATCGTTGTTAAGCATATTACATCACAGTAAGGCTGATTATGTATAGGAATTAGGAAAGAATATGCACCATACTTAATTGTGACTTAATTTGGTTTAAATAATAGTGTGGTTTATTTGGAACCATTGCGGCGAACTGTGTGGGCACTCAAACAGTAACATAAAAACACAGCAACAAATCTGACCATACTCAACTTGTCAAATTTACAAATAAGAAAAACGGCACTTGGATATCATATTACGATTAGGCTTTGGCAGAAAAATAAAACAATCAGCAAAGAATTATGAAAACAAATTCACTGACTGGCCCAGAAAACATAAAGGTAAATGGTTGTCACCAATTATGCAACACAACTTTGCTTGGAATAAGGACCATGTAGTATTTAAGTAAAAGCCCTTCTTTTAGAAACAAAGTACAAACCCTATGTGCATATTAAGTATACATCCTATCATAAATTCATGATTATTGCAATATCTTTTGTAACACAATAAGGTATAAGATCTGCAAAACTTTAAAAACACAACACTAATCTGTTTCAAGTCAGATGTCTCAAACACACATCACCACCTCGTGATTAGTCAATCGCCTGAATTTCTAATGCCCATGTCTTTCGAAAGTTACTTTCAACAAGAATTTCATACCTTCCCACTACGAAAGCTTTCATGGTCTTCCCGTCTTCTCTTGCTAGATCTGTGAAGATCTTGCTCATTTGGCACAGAGCCTCTGCCCTTTCTTGTGCTCTCCCTCGGCTTATCCCTACTAGCCTGGCGAGCATCAGAACTGCTAGATACACGATTATTGTCATGAATCTTTTTTATTTTATCTTGTCTGGAGTTCCTTTCATTGTTATTTGGATTGTCATCACGTGGACGCACATCAGCTCGCCCTTTATTCTGCGTGCTGTTTTCTTCTGCACCTTGACCTCTCCTCCCAGGCTCATTTTGTTTGTTGCGCTCTAGGGTTTCTTTGCTCAACAATGCAGATCTTGATTCATCCTTCTTCCTACCACCACCGACAATTTTGTCATCCATAACCCGTCCACCCCGACCAGTTCCTCTGCCTTCTTCTCTCTGAAGGAGCAGTGTGCTTTCATGCTTAGGCCTCTGCCTGTCGTCCTTTTCTCTCTGTCGCAAGTTGTCCTCTTTATTCTTCACAATACTACGATCATCAGCCTTCTCCCGCATCCTAACACCATCGTCTCTTCTTTTCTGATCAATTCCATCATCCCGTTCTCTCTTCCTTCTGTTTGGATCATCCCTTCCTCTATAACCGTGGACTGCATCTTCACTCTCAGGTTTCATTCTCCTGGTGTTCTCTTCATCTTTCTTTCTCTTGATATGAGAATCATCTAAACTTTCACGACTATTCAAAACCATATCACCACGCTCTCTTTGTCTAGAGCCCCTCCAGTCACCATCATCCAGCAATTTCCTTGGATGAGGATCTTCATCCCTGTCATTCCTATCAATAGGTCTCAACTTATTTCTATGTCTTGCACCAACTTCAGCATTGTAGTTGAGTCTCAAATCTTCCTCCTTGCCTCTTCTGTTGTGCATGCTGTCTTCTCTTCTCTGCAAAATTTCAGTCTCTCTTACCCTATCAAAACTTTTACCGCGTATGTCCCGATCTCTGTTCCCGTAAGGATGGTGGATATCATCCCTACCTCTAGAAGCCAAATGTGTCCTTTCTATTTCAGGTTTGACGTCTCGAGCAGACATGTCCTTTCGACGGGGATCGCGTTCTTCTCCATCATGATGCCTTCTCACATCATTTACACGCCTGGACCGCCTATCTTGCAGAACTTCTTCACCAGATTCAAGGCGTTTCTGATGATCTTTGCTGCTACCAGACCTCACTCCTCTACTGTTTTCACTATTCAGTGTCTTCAAATCGACTTGATCACTACTATTAATGAGTCCAGGGGGCTGCTCAACCTTAGAAATGATCTTCTGCCTTTTACTAGAATGATCCTCATTATCATCCTCATTCGTATCGCTAGCCATGTGAGGTTCTGAGATAGCATCATCAGCATCCATTTCAGCACTATCAACCAAAGCAAGCCTATCATCATTATCAGCAAATTGATCTTCTGTGCTCAGCTTGTCTGTCGTTTCATCAGCAACAGTAGGTGACCGTTTTAAGCCATCCTTAGTTTCTGAGTCATCAACAGGTTTGCTATCTCCCGGGGTATCACGGCGTCTCTTTGAGGATGTTGTTTTGCGAGGTACTTCATTGGAGCTTTCAGCTTCTCGGCTAGGGTTTACACCCTGAGAGCGTCCTCTCAACCTTTTAAAGAACAATTTGAGGGCAAGCATCAGAGATACAACTTCGACAAAAACAAAGAGCTGAAGGACGTAAAACCAAAAAATACAAGAAATATGGGAAGCATATGCTAGAGAAAATGGAACAATGACATCATCCAAAGATCTCCAGAATCCACATCCTGGCATTAACCTTGCAATCGGGCAAGAGACTAATGAAATACTGGAGGGCTTGGATATTGAAACACAATACATACTACCACATCATGGAATGACAATCCATCAGTTAAATGTAACCGTGCATGTGAATGACAATCCATCAGTTACGTGTAACAGTGCATGTGAATAGTGGTAGAAGGGGTATCACTGTGGCATGAATTGCTGGCCACTTGGCTCCTTAAGTGAGAGCACCTTGGCCATGATCTGGTCTATTTAAGATGGAATGTGCAATGGCCTTTGCCTTCAAGAAACTAGACTCATATAAACTAAACTTGGCTCCTTCACTGAGAACATCTTGGCTATGATCTGGTCTAGTGAAGGTGGAATGTGCAATGGCCTGGCCTTCAAGAAACTAGACTCACTGTAATACCTCACTTCACTATGATCTTTCGAACAGGACTACTACTTAAAGGCTAAAAAGACCACCGCAACTGGCTCACTCTAATCCGGAAGTAACATTCATGTGATCACACCAATAAAGACTAGAACTCAGTTTGCGGTTGTTGAACTGCTATGTGCTGAATTATCTATAATGTGATGCAGAAAATTAGTTCTGAGAAAACGAGATTATCAAAATCAACCGTAATGCAAACTGCAGCACGCATAATTTAGCCAGGATTAACAAGTTTGGTTTTGTAGATACTGCATACCTTACTCCACGAGAAGGAGAGCCCCTTATTTTGTAGTTCGGCGGGGAACGGCCCTGAACATCTGATGTGAGCATATCACCTTCAGATGAGACAGGCAACCTTCTGGTATGTTCTGCCTTTCCCAAAGAGGAATTATAAGAAGAATTGTTCGTCTTCTCTGGTGTATAGACCTCGCTCTCCTCAACACCGTTGCTTTTTTTACCTCCTTGAGAATCCTTCTCAGACTGATCCACTGAACTATCAGCAACTATTGGATCATCTGCCGGAGGCTCACATACAATCTGAAACCCAAGACAATGCTTAGAATTGAAAAGCTACTAGTGAGACAACTTAAATATATGCCAAAGCAGGATCACAGCTTACCTCTATAACAGAATCTGATTCACGGTTTCGACCTGGACGTGTATCAGCAGACGGAAAACGTTCTCCATAACCAGTTTCAACTTGTATAGGTCTGCCCGTCATCTGGAGAGGGAAAAAAGATGCTCTTAGTAGTTTGACTGAACAGTGAACGGTAACACCAAACAAATAAAAGAACAAAAAACACCTACAATTTTTTGATAGTTTTGCATGATGACGAACACAGTTTTCTTGACTTACAATGAGGAACTAATTTCTTAGTAGTAGTTTAATAAAATAAAGATAACTCAAAACTACAGAATGGTAACCAAATGTCACATGATAACTGAAAAGATGCACATGGTTGTGTGTCGAAAACTGTTTTGTAGCACATGTACAAGTTTACAACAGAATGTGAGAGTACATAAGTAAACAAGGACAGCTAAACATGGCACTCCCTCCGTTTTTGTATACAAGGCCTTTATCACATTTTTAAGATACCAAGAAAACAAAGCCAACTAATAATGGTAGATTAATTGTGTGGAAAACCTCTCGTGTTCCGGGCTAATTAAACATGTTGCATGTGGTGCCACTTTCTCTATGGCTGCATGCAACATTTGCACAAATAAGCACCATCATGCTAGGCAAAAATCTAATTGATTCTTCTCAGGAAGAGATAATGGCCTTGTATAGAAGCAAATTGTATTTTTGATAGTGGCCTTTGTATATAAAAGAGGAGTGTGTATGAAAGATTATGAAAAATGTGAACCAAATACATGTACACGAGACATCGTGGGGGTTACCACTGCAGGTCGGTTGCTTGTAGGAACTCTCCCTTGGGCACTGAAATCTGTATGTCCATTATCTACTTTATTCCGATTATCAGCAGAAACGTCATGATGGCCAGCCGCAGCAGCTAGCTCCGGTGGCAAATCTGGATCGTAGTCCTGAATGAGACCAATTAAATACTGTTAACAGGCACAAAAGTACATAGCTTGCATTGGATCAAGCAAATGAGGTTACAAGGAACCTGTTCTGAGCGCCCACTCTCGTACACCCGTATTCTAGATTGCATTGTGGACTCCAATCGTGATTGATCCTGGTGAAAAATATATCAGTACTTTACAGAAGGACAAAATGGAAGAGGGGGGGGGGGGGCTATATTGCCACCAAATGTTAAACAAGGACTGACCAGTTGCTTGCAGTAGTCTTTCCATTTCTCCTCATCAAGCCCAAAGTTGAAGAAGTCTGAAATTTCAGCACTAGGGTATTTCCATGGCTTCTCCTCAAATGTGGTGTCAATGTCAATATCAAAAATTATCCTGGGACAAATAAATTATGTTGAGGAGAGGGCATATAATGAGCATAAATAGAATAGTTGTCCAGATGTAACTGAAATAACAACGGGAAGCACACAAATAATTCCTTGATTCCAACCTAGAATTCAATCCCCGGCCCCTCATCCAAAAAAAAAGGTAACAAATAGTGGTATATGGTTCTTGACTCTGCGCGCTTGAGTTGAGAATGCTAGATGTATTCTATGCGTTGAGTTAAATTCACGCAAAATTGGCATTTGCCAGAGCATGCAACAATAATAACCCTAATGCACACTCACAACTGCAACAGATAAACAGAGTTTGCAGCAAGCAAAGCATAAAATGACCTACAGGTCTTATCATGTCTACCAGTTAACTTACTTGTGAGGAGGAAGTGTGAAATCTAGTCCGCCACCAAAACCACGACCAGCACCACCCCATGGAGTCATTCCATAGCCTGAATGAAAACCTTTATTCATGCCCCTACAAGCACCAGGCCGCCAGTCTCCTCTTCCTCGACCAGAAAAAGGTCCAGGGGGTCCAGGTGGACGGAATTGGCCAGGAGCACTAGGAGCCCCACCGGTTGGAGCGCCAGGTCGTACATACTGCAAGAGGGAGAACAAAGATTATAAAAATAATCAAAGAGAAAGTTTACAAAGTTAAAAAGGTGAATGAGAACACTCATTTCCCAACCAACAACTTTCCAAGTACTTAACATCATCGCTTTGCCAGCAGTTAAGCCATGAGAACAGATGATGAATATATATGCAAAACATCATGTAGTTCGTGAAATGAACTTGAACTGTGCTTGATTTAATATTCAATTGGGGTTTACATGCTGTCCAGTATTGCCATTCTTTGAAAATGGTTTAGGAAGTGTCATGTAGCAGAAGAACATATTTGATCCCACTACAGGTATTGCTTGATAACAAATTATTATATTAAAGATAATAGCATATGTACTGATGCATGGAATTTATCATTAACTTGCAAGAGATCTGATCTCACATCCCCAGGGTGTGAGTACGTAATTTGACTATGCTAGAGCTGACCACTTAGTTATATCCAGGCAGATATTAATAGAACAAAATTCCACACTGACAAAATGTGCCGATACATTTAGGATCGAACAGTTACAACTGCACCTAAATCATTCAAGTCTTCTTTGATCATACAGGGTCCAACCACAGTCAGATGGCCATTAGTCCTAAGAGTCCCAGTGCGGGATTGTTAAACACTCTCCTGCTAGAGGTAGAGTCAATATTTGTGTTCGCGGCAAGGAACAGGAAAACGCCTGTCAGCAGCTGTTTGCCAATTTCCCCATAGTTCTGTTGTTGAGTTTAGCACAGAGAAATAGCTAGAACTAACAGACCTACAGTTAGGGAGAATGTGACTTGAGCGCATACAGCCAACGAATACTGTAACTTGAGTGTGTATAGCCAGAACAATGAAATATTTTGGACACAGCCTGAAGATTGAGCTTTGACAAGCAAGCTTATGTACATCATAGTGCCTGCTCTTGGAGCTGGGTCAACTAATGTGTGCCTTATCTCTTACTGGACAAAAGTGATATTGCCAGCTTCGAGCACCTGCCGACCTTGTCACTATCTCCTATCATGAAATAACCGGCATGTTCCTCGAAATGGCTGACTTCATCCGCATCACACCAGCATCTGGAATGAAGTTACTGACTTGAAATTCAGTGACCAGTCTGTATCGATGCCACCATCTTGTTAACTACTTCACTAACTAAACAAAGAATTATAACCCCACGGGGATTAAACATTCAGAAGGCTCTTGAAGTTGCTATACGGAAGCATGAAAAAGTAAATGCAAAATCATTGTATTTCCCTTTGTTCCCTTTATATGTTATATAAATTGCATTTACAGTATACATTGTCAGACAGTAAGCAGGAATGCAAAAGAATCTAAGGAAGAAACTAAACTTTATCAGGAATTTACACAGTACAACGTAAAGCATAGCGAGTTGCAACCGGGGTTTATGCCGTCTCCCTCTTTGGGGGTGGGCCGAGCGCATCGAACATCGAACGGCTTCTTGGCCCGAATAACTGACCTTGAACATGGAATGGTGCTGCGGGTGGAACCCCGGGCCGCCGCCACTGTACCCGATCCTCCCGCCAGGCATGGGGCCCGTCTTCCCAGGCTCACCGCCCTCTTTTCTCTCTCCCTCGGGCCCAGCCGCTGTCCCGTCCTCCACCCACTCCTGCTCCTCCATGCCGGGGACGTGAGGTCCATCGGCGACGATGAGGAGGTCTTCCCCGTCCTCGTCGTCGCCTTCGTCCTCCCCGAGCCGCCGGCGTCCGTCCGTCTCGTTGAGCACGATCTGGAGGTCGTCCTCGCTGTCGCTATCCCACTCGTCGCTCCCGGCCGCACCACCGGCCGCCGCCGAGGACGAGAGCCCCGGGATGGCCGCCCCGGGGTCGTCCGCGCCGACCCCCATGAGCGGATCGGGATCCTCCGCGGCGGGGGGCGGCGGCTTCGCATCGACCTCGCGCTTCACGGCGGGGGGCGCGCCGCCATCGTCGTCCTCGTCGACCCAGTCGGTGGTGGGGTCGACCCCGGCGAGGGGGTCGCCCCCTCCGAGCAGCCAGTCGTCGTCGTCGTCGTCCTCGGCGCCCGCCGCCGCCGCGGCCGACGCGGGAGCTGGCGCCGAATTAGGGTTTGGGGCCGGGGCGGCGCGCGGCGGGGTTTCGGCGGGCGGCGGCGGCCTGGGGGGCTCGGACGTCGGGAGGACGATGTCCGTGTAGAGGTCGCCGAACTCGTCGTCGTCCTCCATGGCGACGGCGAGATCGGGCGGGGGAGGCCGGAGGCGGCGGGCGATGGGGGTGAGGGTCGGGGGAGAGTCGCCAAGTTCGTTTTGGAGCTCTGCCTATTAGGAGAAGGGCTCTCGGTTTTAGGGGTTCCTTGCTTATACTGACAAAAATAACTGTGAGATTTTTTTCCGAACGATTTGAAGATTGCTCACCACGCTTGCCGTGCGGTAAAATTAACTCAGAGATATTCTGATATCTCAGATCAGGATATGTAACATGTACATCAAGTGCTCACGGATTTACAGTACCATATTGTGTACGGGTTTTCAACTTGCAAGAGTTGATGTCTAGCCCTATTTTGTTCAACCAAATGAATTATAAAAAAATTTAAAAAAAAAATAAACGGTTCATTTGGTTGGACTAGATAGGGCCACTGGCTACCCTAAACAATACACATTTGCACCCCTGGTTAAGCATAGAGAAAAGGATGTACAATTAACGCAATAAAAATTATATTTTCTATGAGACGCCTCCAAATGATATCCACCATAGAAACACACTCAAACTTCCTTTTGCAATACTCAAGTCGCAATCCTTACATCATCGTGGTGTTCTCATCCTCGATAGCACAGTTGCGATCTCCTCTGTCGATGTCGGAGTTCGAGTTCGTCGTGACGTCAACTTACATACCGAGTGACAAATAAAGATATTTGTGAAGTTGGTGTTGGGTAGAGTGTGAATTTGCAAGTTTGAAAGTTTGTTACTTCCTCCGTCTCAAAATAAATGTCTCAACTTTATATTAACTTTAGTACAAAGTTGAACTAAGGTTGAGACACTTTATTTTGAAACGGATGGGTACTTATTAGTCACACTTCACCCGTCATTAAGTACATATGTAATTTTACGTGTAAATTTTTAAAATTTGGACGTAGGGCGAAAGCTCGCCCGCATGTGCCATGCACTATATTTACTAATGTATTTTTTGTTACTAAAATTGTATTAAATCAGCGTCAATTAATATGGATCGGAAGGAGTAGCTTACGTCAGTCTTAATTCTAGCACCGTTATGCCAGGCAGTTCCACTCGAGCGATACCGTTACGTGACTCGAGTCACTGCTTGAATTTGGCGTGTTTGTCCACGTGATCTGGTTTGGTTCGGTCAATGACGTGACGCCAAATCCGATCGAGTGATGCATCTAAATGGGCCAACGATCTGTAGCGCGTCTCCTAAGAGAAAGATGTGTGTGGCGCGTAACCACCAGCGCTCGCCTGGTGAAAAGAAATGTCAGCTTTTGTTGGCTGGTTTGGCAGAAAACTTGGTTCTCTCTTTGCCATCTCGGATGCAGGTTCATCTCTACTTCTCGGCGGCGTGTCTTTTTATGGGTGGTCAGGTCGGCCAGTGCTGCCACAATTTTAGTCCGGTTTTCAGTATATTATTCAGTTTTGCTCAAGCACATCTAAATGTGCCATGAGTATTGTACATCTAAGTCCTATGTCATTAATCTTACATCGAGATTCGTGTGGATATTTTCCTTTTTCTTTTTCCTTTTCTCTTTTTGCTTGATTCACTCACTTAGATGCGCAATAACTAGAGCACATCTAGATGTGCCCTAGACACACTATATTATTTGGGTTTGTCGCACATCTAAATGACTCAGTTAATCTAGAAAAACAAAAGAAAATACTTGCACGAAGCTTAGCGTAAAATCAATGACATAGGATTTAGATGTGCAATACTTAGAGCACATCTAAATGTGCTTTATCAAAATTGATATTTATGAGAGCAAAAACTTTCCCCTCCATCCCAGACCGCACGTGCGGGCGGTTCCGGAGAGCTAACCCTAACCGCCAGAGACCCCCGTCCTAGATGGTGACGGGGCCTGGCCGTCAAAGGCAACGGGCGAGGTCGGCGAGCCCGGACGGGCCCCTCCCCCTTTGCGTGAAGGGGTGGCGTCATGCGGGCGGCGTGTGGTCAGGCCATGGTGCGACGGAGATTCGCGGAGGAGCAGAGGAGTCTGTCGAGGAACGACGCCTCCATATTGTGCCGGTGCGAGAGTGGAGGGCCGTGCAGACCGGCTCTCATGGTGACGGCGGCTGTGTGGGGTTTGGCCAAGAGTGGCGGGAGCTCCCGGAGTGCGGCGGCCGGCGGTCAACTCGGGTGTGGGCGTGCGGTTGCCCTCCTGGAGGCGTCGGTGCGAATGAGGCGAAAGTGTGGGCTCGATTTGGGCCCATCGGGGTCAGATCTAGGACGAAGGGTTGTGGTAGTGACAGCTGTCTAGAGTGAGACAGCTATTGCACGAGGTGTGCAGCCCTGTTCGGTGGAGATGGAGGTGTCGTGTTGCGTTTCTCTCGTCTAGGCGGGAGGTGGAATGCGATCTCGGCCGTGCGGGTGTTGGTGGACTGTAATGCTACGACTACAACGACGTGGTGTTGCGGCGCCAGCGGTGCGAACAACTCGAACGGTGGCCCCAGATCGGCGTCGAGGGTGGGAGGTGTGCTGCAAAAATGGATGAAGGTCTTGCCCATTTGTCAACACCGGCAGTGACGGCGCCCCTGGTCGTCGCCCCCTCCTTGGAGGCGTTGTTGAGATGTGTCGACACTTCCCTGCTCCCGTGTTTATTTGGTAGATGTCTTTGGGCGAAAGCCTAGGCTTGGTGTGGGATCGACACGATGGGGGCGTCCTCGACGCCGTACCTTCGTTAGGAGCATTGTGTTTGGACACTTGGCTTGGAGGTTCCTTGTCGCGCTCCTCCGATGCTTGCCAGTGCCCAAGATTGTTCTTCAGAGGCGCCATGTATACCGTCGCTGGGAATCCAAGGTGATGCCTTTATCTGGACTGACCAAGTCCCATCATTTGCTTGTCATCTCCTCCGTTGGCATTAAGGGCGAACGATGCGTCAACAAGCGAGGTCCAATGGAGTTGTTGATCTTCGGAGGCGACTGGTGTCGGTTAAGACGCGGCTCTGTAGCGCATTCTGTTGGGGATCGTAGCAGAAATTTAAAATTTTCTACGCATCACCAAGATCAATCTATGGAGTAATATAGCAACGAGGGGAAGGGGAGTGCATCTACATACCCTTGTAGATCGCTAAGCGGAAGCGTTGCAAGAACGCGGATGAAGGAGTCGTACTCGCAGTGATTCAGATCGCGGTTGATTCCGATCTAAGCGCCGAACAACGGCGCCTCCGTGTTCAACACACGTGCAGCCCGATGACGTCTCCCACGCCTTGATCCAGCAAGGAGAGAAGGAGAGGTTGGGGAAGACTCCGTCCAGCAGCAGCACGACTGCGTGGTGGTGAAGGAGGAGTGTGGCAATCCTGCAGGGCTTCGCCAAGCACCGCAGGAGAGGAGGAGGACTTGGGAGAGGGAGAGGGATGCGCCAGAACTTGGGTGCGGCTGCCCTCCCACCCCCCACACATATATATAGGGGCAAGGGAGAGGGGGGCCGGCCCCCTCAGACCCAATCTGAGGAGGGGCGGCGGCAGGGGGGTTGCCTTGCCCCCCCAAGGCAAGGGGGGCGCCCCCCTTTAGGGTTCCCCCAAACCCTAGGTGCATGGGCCCTAGGGGGGAGGCGCCCAGCCCATTAAGGGGCTGGTCCCTCTCCACACACAGCCCATAGGGCCCTCCGGGGCAGGTGGACCCTCCCGGTGGACCCCTGGAACCCCTTCGGTGGTCCCGGTACAATACCGGTAACCCCCCGAATTATTCCGGTGACCGTATGATGACTTCCCATATATAAATCTTTACCTCCGGACCATTCCGGAACTCCTCGTGACGTCCGGTATCTCATCCGGGACTCCGAACAACATTCGATAACCACGTACATCTATTTCCTATAACCCCAGCGTCATCGAACCTTAAGTGTGTAGACCCTACGGGCTCGGGAGTCATGCAGACATGGTCGAGACAACTCTTCGGTCAATAACCAACAGCGGGATCTGGATACCCATGTTGGCTCCCACATGCTCCACGATGATCTCATCGGATGAACCACGATGTCAAGGATTCAATCAATCCCGTATACAATTCCCTTTGTCTATCGGTACGATACTTGCCCGAGATTCGATCGTCGGTATCCCGATACCTTGTTCAATCTCGTTACCGGCAAGTCTTTTTACTCGTTCCGTAACACATCATCCCGTGATCAACTCCTTGGTCACATTGTGCACATTATGATGATGTCCTACCGAGTGGGCCCAGAGATACATCTCCGTTACACGGAGTGACAAATCCCAGTCTCGATTCGTGCCAACCCAACAGACACTTTTGGAGATACCCGTAGTGCACCTTTATAGCCACCCAGTTACGTTGTGACGTTTGGCACACCCAAAGCACTCCTACGGTATCCGAGAGTTGCACAATCTCATGGTCTAAGAAAATGATACTTGACATTAGAAAAGCTTTAGCATACGAACTACATGATCTTGTGCTAGGCTTAGGATTGGGTCTTGTCCATCACATCATTCTCCTAATGATGTGATCCCGTTATCAACGACATCCAATGCCCATGGTCAGGAAACCGTAACCATCTATTGATCAACGAGCTAGTCAACTACAGGCTTACTAGGGACATGGTGTTGTCTATGTATCCACACATGTATCTGAGTTTCCTATCAATACAATTCTAGCATGGATAATAAATGATTATCATGAACAATGAAATATAATATAATAATAACTAATTTATTATTGCCTCTAGGGCATATTTCCAACACATTCTAGGGTAGGCACTTTTGCATGTAGTTGTAATGTATCCGGTGGCCGTCTTCGTCATCTTCCTCGTCACCTGCCATTGCCACAATTGACACGGGAGCTGGCGCGGTATTAGGGTTTAGGGATGGGGCGGCGTGCTGCAGCCTCGGGGGCTTGGACGTCGGAATGACGATATCCGTGTAGAGGTCGCCGAACTCGTCGTCGTCCTCCATGGTGAAGGCGAAATCGGGCAGGGGAGGCCGAAGGCGGCGGGCGATGGGAGTGAGGGTCGGGGAGTCGCCAAGTTCGTTTTAGAGCTCTGCCTATTAGG